CCGACCGACTCTGTAGTCGACTCGTCCGCGTCGCGTCGGCGACGACGACGACCCGACCCGACCGCCGTACGTACCGTACCTACGTAGTAGTTAGTTAACTTTTAGTGTATATATATATATATATATATATATATATATATATATATCTTGGTTGATTTTTGGTAGTGCAAACCAAAATAATATATATTTGCACAATTAGGCACTTCTTTTTTTCATGCATAATTTCTGTTAAATTTTGTTGCCAACTCTATGGTCAAAATAGCCCAAGAGTTTTTCAATATACCTAAAAATGTGATTGGTGTTTCTAATATTTAATAAAAAAGGAAATTGTTGGAACCAACGCATAGTTAGCAAGCCATGGAATAACAATATATCGGTGAACCAAAACATCGGTAATAAATTGGCTTTGCTCCAAAAAATGAATAGAAAAAATCGGGTCAAAAATACAATCGCTAAAACTTAGATAGAGAATCATGAATATTTGGGATTTGACTAAACAATATGGAATGAAAAAAATCAGATATGTAAGTATGAAACAATATAGGATTATGAATTGTGTTTATTGTACGGATACATTAAAACCATTGAACTATAATTTTTATGTCCTTACCTATTATCATTAGTGTCATACTTAACAATTTTGTCTAAATTTTCAATAAATACAACTACAATACTTAATCTGTTGTCACGACATAGAACATGTGATAGATTATTGACAGCATACAAGACAACAACAACTGGAACACTAAATATAAGAACTACATTACCAAACAACAAGAACGGAAACCAAGGTATGGGAATATTGTTGGAAGAAAAAAACAAAAATGATCATTAGTAAAGGGAGCAGTTAACTAAAACACAAAAACTGAAAAATGTAATGTAGGTGGTCCATTCAAAGTGTTACGTTGTATACACTAAAGAAATTAAAAAAATAAGACGGGTGAAACTAATCAAATATTTGTATGCAGAAAGATAACAAAAAAATGCTTAAACAAATCCAAATATTCGAAGGGCACTCTGAATTCCTTGTTGCCTAAATCTTTAGTTGAATTGAATCTCTCTTTTGCTCTTTATAATGATGCTCTATGTTTAGAGGGAAAAAATGATTGGGTTACTCTTCCTCTTTCTTTATCAATTATTTTGAGATATATGGTTGCTCAGGTGGATTATTTTTTAGAGAATATATTGCACTTTTAAGGGAACATATTGGTGAAAATTCTTGGTGGAAATTTTTGTTAAATCAAGATTTTCAATGTACTTCTACTTTTAATGTGCTTATCTCTAAACTAAAATTCAAATATATTAAATCAATGACGAGATAAAGTTACAAGGAAGAAGCTTTTTTGAAAAGCTCTTTTGAAAAAAAGATAAAATGCGGATTTTTATCGGTTCCATTAAAAAACCGCGATTTTTTTGACGATCTTTTGAAAACTTAGAGTTCTAAACAAATTTCAAAAAATGGGAGATTTTTTGAAAAATCATTTGTTAAATGGAGACTTGTTAACTGTGAACCAACCAAGGCGTAGTTATAACCACCCAAAAAATGCTAGCTCACTACTCCCATTTGCTTGGTTGTTGGTTGTAAACAAAACGACTGGTACTCGGCACAAGAGGAGACAATTGGAAGTAGTGAGAAAAGGCATGGGGACCTATGGCCTCACTAAGGATATGACCCTTGATAGAGCAGAATGGTAGACTAGAATTTGTGTAGATGACCCCAAATAGTTGGAAAAAGACTCGGATGATGATGATGAATTTCTCTCTCTTATTGTTTCTATTTTATCAAGGGGAGCCACTGTGCCAAGACCCCCTCTCTCTCTCTCATGGGCTTATCCGCTCCGCCCACACTTTCTCAAAAAGGGATAACTAATCCCAACATTCTCTCTCACACAAGAAAAATGAGATATAAGAAAAGTGCCAAGAATGTCCTCAAGACAATTAAGAGGTGAGAGAAGCTCCAAGAGAGGTTTTAAGACTATTCATGAGAGAGAGAGGTTTCATTCTGCGAAAAGAGGAAGTAGGAGAAGGTAAAAGGTCACTCCTTAGCAGGCATAGAAGAGAGGAAGGAGGAGAACGAGGGAGATAAGGAACAGGTGGGAGAACCCTAAAATTCAGGGGGAGTTTATGGCAATTTTTTAGATGATTCAAACTTGTTTTTTTTTTTAGAAAATGGGGGGAGTGACTAGCTGGATGACCCATGAGTTGGCATTTTGGGTGGTCCTATCAACGCATTGGCTGGTTCCAATAATAACCCTAAAATAAAAAAAAATAAAATACAATAAAAGGGTAGTTATCTCAATGGGAAAAGTAAGAAATGCCACCAATGTGTCTCTTTCTCTTCTGAAACTCAAAACAACATTTTTAACAAGCAAAAGAAACCTACAATTAAGGCTAAAGTTTCCTCCATCTGATTTCCGATAGGAAAATCGTAACTGCATTTCTCCCTGTAAATCTCTTTAAGATTTTAGTACTTACTCTCATCCACTATATAGTGAATACTTTCCATGAGCTTGAATTTTTACTATTATTGTATATTGGTTCTATTCTGAACACTACAAAAACCCTTTCTATTGATTAAAAAGCTATCATGGCTCATCTCTTGCATTCCTTTCTGTGTTGCTTTTATTAAAGATTTGGAATAATTTATCCAATTTAAGAAACTATCCAGTTGGCGAACAAGAATGATGGGGAGAAGTTATGGCCTCCATCCAAAAGATGAAGTAACTCAAAAGCCTTGTTTTGTCTTCTATTGATGAAACATAAGTTTTTACTATGAAATCATTGCATCCAGACCCACCATAGTTACCACAGTGGTTAGAAGAATACATATAGATGTTTTATTAGGGAAGTTATCACAGTGGTTAGGCCCTCTTGAAAGTCCCACAAGGTTGCATTTAAGATCTTCTGCCCCAACTAAAGACCCAATCAAATGTCCCCAAACATTGTCTTATTTGACAAAATTTATGCTTTCTGAGGCACACAATCTTGGCAAGATGGGATGCCGTAATAATGTAGAATTTCCAAGACTAAAGCATCTTATGCTTCATAACTTGCAGCGACTGTTGCTGTGGGGATTTAGGGAAGAAGGAAGCATATCCCTGCTTAGAATTTTACGAAGTATGACGCACCCTGAAAATCTTTGACTGGTGGTTTGTAAATATCAGGAGCGATTCTTGGGTACATAGAATGGGTTAACTTACACAGGAACTGGGCACAAAACTTGGATATAAACTTTTATATCTCTACATGAAGTCATACATTCTTTAAAAATAAGTAACACCTATTTGTGCTTGAAGGTTGTCAAAGTGGAAGGAGAAATCAGAGATGAGATCATCATTTTTATGGCAGAAAATACGAAAAAGGCCCAGTTTCCAATCATAGCACTCATATTCTTCTCCGTGAGAGAATGATTGATCACTATTTCTACTAAAGAATTATACTTTTTTATATTGGATTACTATTGTCATTCAATTTTAATTCTTTGAAAGGAATATGATTTGAGAATGTAATGCACATATAACACTTTTGAGAGAAGCTTGTGTATCCTAATTTTTAGGATGAAGTAGAATTGATGGGTGATTAAAGTTCAAATACACTATTCACCATGGTGTTGCTTGGTACTTTCTGTAACGTTCTAAACTATTAATTGGTGTTACAAGATTTCAATCAATGAACTGAATATCTACACCATGTTCTTAAAAAAAAAAAAGAAAAAAAAAAAAAAAAGGAAATACTGATACTAATGTAAGAGCATAGTGTATGGCACATATTTCTATCCTCATAATAGTAAATCATAGATCTGTGTCCTTACACTACAAATCAAAATCGAAACATATATGCATATACGGTTTTGTTTGAACAATGAGAGAAATATGCAGTAATAAAAACTGTACAGTAGCATTAAAACACCAGTACTTTTAGCCATTGCCCAAGAATTTTTTTCTTTTTTGATGAACGTTAACATGCCATTGTCCAAGAATTTATCAATGAACTTAAACAAAAATGGAAGAAATGAGCTCACAATGAAATGATATTCATCAACTGATGAGTTCCGGTGGCAGTGGAATGATTGGGCAAATGAAAAATCCATGGCAGGATCAATCATCCCTTAAAATGCAACACCATACTAATTTGTGACTTTTCCAAATAATATTGCTTCTGTTACAAGTTGCAACAAAATAAATATCAAAAGGAATCAATGAGAGATAAGAATAAAAGACACAAAATCTCTCCCTCCTTCCCTCTCTCCCTACCTCCCATGACATGCCCAGTGTAACAGATTGGTAAGCTGGTAACCTAAGATGCATCATATGGTGAGTCCCAAATTTAGCATATCAGTACAAGTGACATCACATAAAAGAAATTTATTATAGATATAGTACTCAAAATGAGTTACAAAATCTTTACCTGGTTTATATTCAAAGCTGTACATATAGACCAATAGATCTGGCTGGATATTGTGACTTCTTTATAGCTTCAGGCTTTAAGTGTATCCCCATAATAATGGCTCGCATGTTGTGAATTCAGCATCGATGAACACAAGATTTACAGGCTTACAAGAATGTATCCCAGCTGAAGCTGATAAAAAAGCACAGTTTGTCCACCATTTGCCACCCCCACTGAACCCCCCCCCCCCAGCCCCTCCCCCCTGCCGACTTTCCTCCACTTTGAACTCTTATGTAGGCCTAGTCTCTCTTTTGTTTCATCATGTCCTCTTCCATTTCTCTTTCCTACTAGGTCATAGCCTCTCCTCTCTGAACTCTTATGTAGGTCATAGCTGACTGTTTCTCAATAGCAACGCAGCATGCATAACTGATGGAGGGCAAAACTCTTCTTATTTTGCATTTTTATTCAATTTCAATGATGTATGTATATTGTAGTTTAGATTTAGGATTTATTTCTAGGGCTTTTAGGATTTTTAAGGTCTTTATTTTTTTATTTAGTATTCACATATTACTGATCATATATTACTACTGATCATATATTTACTGTTCACGCGTTACTGCTCAAGTGTTACTATTCCCATGTTACTGTTCATATTTTACTGTTCATAGGGGTATTTTTAGAATTTTAGTATTGTTTTAGGGGTATTTTAGAATATTAAATATTTACTTGAATCTCAAGTTAAATTAGGGTTTCATATGCTTATAAAAAGTTGGATGTCATAGTTTACAGTAGATGTTATTGGAATAAATTTTATTTTATAAAAGAAGAAATTTCTTCTTCTCTTGGCTTGATTTACAGCCATGTCCTTTGCTGATTTTACTTGTTTAAGGTTCAGGAGAACAGTGAATTCAATTTCTCACCTTTTCTCCCTGCATCAAGCGGTATCAGAGCATTGTTTGAAGACGGCTGAAGATTGTGATGGCTTGTCGTGGAGGTCTTAGCCATAGGAATGCCGATCTTATCCGACTACGCAAGGAAATCAACAACTTAACGAAGAAGGTTATCGAGCTATTGCTGCGCAAGAGGTGCCATGAAAAGCATGCCCTAAACGAAGAGGAATCTACATGGATAGATCCAAATCGTGAGGGTTTTTATGGAGAATGACACAAATCAAAGTCCGACTCAAAGTTGGAGCAGAATGATGGAGCTACCTTCAACCACCTGTTCTATGCACATGCTCCATGTTGGGAGCCTCATACTTGGAAGAATAAATCATGGGATTTAGTTGATCTACATGATTTGAAGAAAAACGAAGTTGATCTTGGTGTAGGTCGTATCGAAAGTCAGAACGTGATTGGGACCTGCCACCAATTTTCGATACATACTTAAGATGATGAACAAGATTTTGGAAGAGATCTAGTCTCTGATGGTGATCAAGATTTGTGGGTGAACCGATCTTTGACGAAGAAAAAGATGAAGATTTGGAACATCTAGGAGATTTAGGGCATTGAAATTAGAGTAGCGCAATGAAAGTATGATCGACTCGAAATCAGCAAATTGTGGCCCTGATTTCAAAAAGTGATCAAATTGATGTTGAGAAAACCTCTAAATGCCTGAAAATTGAGTTTGGAGTATTTTCCATGATTTCCAATGGGAGTTCACAAATAATTGAATTTGATAAAATTGCATGGATTCCTCATTATCCCTATCAGGAACCATTTCTTGAGGAATTTTTTTTACCTCGAATAGTATTTGAGCGGACAAAGAAAAAGGTCAAAGAAGGTAGTTTTAATGTTGAGTTCATCTTAACACACTTCAAAACTCGATGACGAGTTTTCTCCAACTAGGGGAGAATGATGGAGGGCAAAAGTCTTCTTATTTGTATTTTTATTCAATTTCAATGATGTATATTGTAGTTTTAGATTTAGGCTTATTTCTAGGGATTTTAGGATTTTTACGGTTTTTATTTACTATTCACTTGTTACCATTCATGTAACACTGTTCATAAGGGTATTTTTGGAATTTTAGTATTTTTTTAAGGGTATTTTAGAGTATTAAATATTTACTTGAGTCTCAAGTTAAATTAGGGTTTCATTTATAAAAAGTTGGATGTCATAGTTTAGAGTAGAATATTTTTTCTTCTCTTGGTTTGATTTACAACCATGTTCTTTTTCTCTTCTGGTTGATTTTACTTGTTTAAAGTTCAGAAGAACGGTGGATTCAATTTCCCACCTTTTCTCCCTGCATCAAAAATTATATTTTGTAAAGGATGTATATTTTGATTTCTATTCAATTGTAAAGAATGTATACTTTGATTTTAGTTTTAAGGTTTAGTTCTTGGGTTTTTTTAGTTTCTAAGGACTTTTTAAATATTTTAATTAAAGTTAAAGGAGTTTAGTTTCAAGTTATATTTAAGTTACGACCTTTTGGTTAAAAGCTAAATTGTATGGACAAATAGTCCAAAATAATAATATTTCAATATAAATAAGGGCATGGATGGGCTAGAGGGTCATTCATATACGCCTCTTTAAGAAAAGAAGACTTTATCTTGTAAAAGAAGCCTAAGGCTTGAGCCCTAGGTGGGAGAAAACCTTAAGGTTTTTCCAAATTGTGTGCTTCTTGCTGATTTTTCTATATTTCTTCAAGTTCTCCTACATCAAGTGGTATCAGAACCCGCGATCTACAAGGAAGTTACTGTAGCAAGTAGGGAAGTAATGTAGCACGTACGGAGTTACTGTAGCACCAAATTTTTTTGGTGCTCTAGGTCAACAACAAAGAAGAAATTATAGTAAGGTCTCGGGTTTGTTAATTTTGGCCAAATATTTGCCAAAACAACCTAGATTTTGCTGATTTCAGCAATTTTTGTTAATTATTTGCCTAGGGTTTGTGATTTTGACGAACCCATAGCAGCAAGAAGGGGCCATAAAAGGGGAATTTTTGTAGTTCTACTCCGTGATCCTATTGACAGGATTGAGAAACTTGAAAGGCAAGTACAACAGCTGGCGCAGCAGTTCGCGAGCCTCAATAATGGGCAAGACGTGATCTTTCAGCCTAGGAGCATCTCGACTGCAAGCCTCTTCAGTTTTGCGCTCCGCGTCTGGAGTCGAGTGATAAGGATAATGATAGAAGACCTAGATGTAGGAAACAACACTCTAGTGTTTTTCTTTTACTGATGAAATTTTTTATTTTGACACAAATTGCATGGAAAGTCAGCAAATAGTATATTGGGATTCACCACCAATCTTCGACATATACTCACATGAACAACAAAATTTCTTAGGAGATTTGATCTATGATAACATTGATAAGGATCAAGATGATGGTGAAGATATCTTGGAAGATGATGAAGAATATGGGGAGAAGGCAATAAGAGGACTGATCAAAATCATGGCCTTTAAAGATGCCATTAATATTGAAGGGATAGAGCACTTAAGAAATTCAGGGTATTGGAATCAAAGTAGCACAGTACAAGCATGGTCGATTCAGAAGCTGCAAATTGTGGCCCTAATTCTTCAATATACATATCAAGATCCGTTTCTTGAGGAATAGTTTTTTACCAAGAATAATTTTTGAAGCAAGAAAGAAGAAGAAGGTGGTTTTGACGCTGAATTTATCTTAGAACACTTCAAAACTCGAGGACGAGTTGTCTCGAACAAAGGGAGAATGATAGAGGGAAAAATTATACTTATTTCTAATTTCTATTCAATTGTAAAAGATGTACATTTTAATTTTAGTTTTAGGGTTTGGTTCTAATGTTTTTTAGTTTCTACGAATTCTAGGGACTTTTTAGATATTTTAATTAAACTTAAGGAGTTTAGTTTCAAGTTATATTTAAGTTATGACTTTTTGGTCAAAAGTTAAATTGTATAAACAAATATTGTCCAAAACAATAATATTTTAATATAAATAAGGGCATAGATGGGCTGAAGGGTCATTCATGTATGTCTCTTTAAGAAATGAAAAACTTTGTCGTGTAAAAGAAGTCTTCTTGTAAAAGAAGCCTAAAGCTTGAGCCATAGGTGGGAGAAAACCTTAAGGTTCTCCAAAATTGCTTATGTTTGACATGCTTATTGCTAATTTTATATGTTTCTTCAAGTTCTCGTACATCAATAACTCAGTGACAGACAATGTTTGAGATGCCACTAATTTCCAAGTCCAAACAAATGAAATATGGCTCTTGCATAATTGACATCACCAAGGTCTCTCTCTTGGTTTCCACACATTCTTGAAGCTCCCTTTAATATATCACTAATATGTTGAAAATGTGGCCAATAATGCCCTTTTCTCCTGGGAATTTTTTTTTCAATAATGATACAAATGCCATATTGAAGTATATGTGAAATCCCATGTGGTTAACATAATGTAATGCCATATACTTGGATCAATTTTTTAGCTTTAATAAGATATTGTACTGGAGGGAAAACCCAAATGTCACTAAAGGGAAAACCCAATGTGTGTTTGGATTCCTTGTGAAAATTGTTTTTTTTCTATTTTATAGATATATAAAGTTTATTTAATTTCTAAATATCTTTTATCAAATTTTATGAATGCTTCGATGACATCCTATTTTGTGAGTCATTAGTGAACTAATGACAGGTTTAGCTCAACTTATTACATAGGATTAACAGTTTGGTGACAACTTGTTAATCCTAATTATTTGCACTCAAGGGAATTAAAGCATGAGTTACACTTGGATCTCAACTCCTATAGACCATGAAAGATAAAGTTACAAACCAAATGTGCTCTCTATAAAAAGATGTTAACTCCTCAAGAAATAACAAGAAAATAAGGATAGAGAAGGATGAAAAAGAGAAATGCCAAGTAAATGAATCTACCAAATCCCATACATGGTTTTTAGTTATAGAATCCATTTTCCGGGGTTTCATTTTCACTTTTTGGTGGAGGTGTTGTATCATGGTACAGTACAAAAACAAAATTGTGTTACTTTATCAACCATGAAAGCAGAAAATGTGGCTTGTAGTTTAGGATCACAAGAGGCTCTTTGGTTGAGGAATTTCCTCATGGATTTAAAATTGGAATGCATCAACAATGAACCTATAAATATATTATGTGATAATTAAGCAATCATTGCCGTTATCAAGGATTAAAAAATAAACTTTAAATCTAAGCACATTCACAGGAGGTACCACCATATTCGAAATGTAATGGAATATAGAGATATAACAGTTGATTATATACCTTCAAGTGAGATGATTGCAGATCCATTAAAGGCTTTGA